TTTTTTTTTTTTTTTTTGGTAATGTTACTTTACATTGGAGAAGTAACTTGCACTGGCAAGTCTAAGAGAATGACAGATTTTGAAATCTTAAATTTACTGTTTAGGGTTAACTTGAAACACCTTAACACAACAAAAACCTATGATTCCGCTAGTAATAACTAACATTTTTTAAGTCTTATATAACAATGATATTAAAATATACGAAATATGTTTTTTTTTCATATTCTAACAATATTTTCGTTAATCTTTGATGCAACTATTTCTAGGAAGAAAGGTTATGTATAGAGATTATCTTCATGTTAAAAAATAATCTAGGAAAAACTGAATATAAAAGTAATCCGGAAGTAAAATATATGTCAAATTATTTCCAAGTTTTAGCTAATGACAGCAAACTAAACATTCAACTTACTTTTAAGTGTGTTACTTTAGCTGAAAAAGAATTTAAATCCTTTCTTTTAAATCGCTGTTTATATTTGGATTGATCTCATTGGTTGTAGACTGCTGTTTACACTTAGATTAACCTCTTTAGTGGTCAGTTATCAGGTTGTATATTGCTGTTTACACTTAGATTAACCTCTTTAGTGGTCAGTTATCAGGTTGTATATTGCTGTTTACACTTAGATTAACCTTTTTAGTGGTCAGTTATCAGGTTGTAGATTGCTGTTTACACTTAGATTAACCTCTTTAGTGGTCAGTTATCAAGTTGTAAATCGCTGTTTACACTTAGATTAACCTCTTTAGTGGTCAGTTATTAGGTTGTATATTGCTGTTTACACTTAGATTAACCTCTTTAGTGGTCAGTTATCAGGTTGTAGATCACTGTTTACACTTAGATTAACCTCTTTAGTGGTCAGTTATCATGTTGTAGATTGCTGTTACACTTAGATTAACCTCTTTAGTAGTCATTTATTAGGTTGTAGATTGCTGTTACACTTAGATTAATCTCATTAGTGGTCAGTTATTAGGTTGTAAGCTGTTGTTCACACATGGAATAACCCCATAAGTTGTCAGTTATTAGGCTACAGGTTTCTGTTTACAATTAAATAAACAACTTTAGTGGTCAGTTATTAGGTGTTAAGTTACTGTTTATACTTGGATCTACCTCTTTAGTGGTCAACTATCAAGGAATAGATTACTCTTGGTTCTCCCCCACCCTCTTTCTGTCATAGTAGTCAGTTATCAGGTTTTAAGTTGCAATCTACACTTGGCTTAACCTCTGTAGTGGTCAGTTGAGAGTTTGTCCATTTTGAATATTTTTAAACTTTCTTAGGCAAAATTATATCACAGTCTATGTAATACAGATTGAGTATCTTTGGGCTTTATTGGAATTCTCTTTATGCTAATTACTGTGAATATTTTCATGTTGATGTTAGGTTTTAATGCCAATTACTTTAAATAACTTTCTGTTTGTCTGTCATTGAAGTTACTGATAGTTACTTTGGTTAGTTTTAGAATTATTTTAGAAAAAATTGTTTGTTTGTATTGTTTAAGCACAAAACAGCAAAATGGGCTATCTGTATTATACCAACTTTAGGGTATGAACTCTGAATTCTAGGATCTATCTAATTGTTTGTACAATGATTTTTGGTTTAATTAATCTCTTTAAGCATTTTAATACTGATATTTTGATCATATTGATCCCTTTATTTAATCTTACCTCAACATTAGGATTTGTACTGATCTCTCTGACATAGGAAGTTTATGTTAATCACATTAATAAATTTCAGGTTGATGTTTGTGTTTATGTTAATAAAATTAATAAATTTCAGGTTGATGTTTGAGTTTATGTTAATCACATTAATAAATTTCAGGTTGATGTTTGGGTTTATGTTAATAACATTACTAAGTTTCAGGTTGATGTTTGGGTTTATATTAATAAATAATAAGTTTTCAGGCTGATGTTTGGGTTTATTTTAATAACATTAATAAATTTCAGGTTGATGTTTAGACTTATGTTAATCACATTAATAAATTTCAGGCCTGAAAATTATTAATTTTATTAACATAAACCCAAACATCAACCTGAAATTTATTAATGCGATTAACATATACCCAAACATCAGCCTGAAATTTATTAATGTGATTAACATATACCCAAACATCAGCCTGAAATTTATTAATGTGATTAACATAAGCCTAAACATCAGCCTGAAATTTATTAATGTTATTAAATTAAACCCAAACATCAGTTGATGTTTGTGTTTATGTTAATAAAATTAATAAATTTCAGGTTGATGTTGGGGTTTATGTTGACTAGTACAATCTTGTCTATGTGGATTGGACCTACCCCTACTGTAGCTATGATGATCCCTATTGTAGACTCTGTATTAAAAGAACTGGACAATTCCATTGAACTCCCAAGTATGACCTTAAACTATTGAACAAATCATTTGTGAAACGTAAAATATACATATTATTTAAACCTTAGTAAGTTCAGGCTTTCCAAGTATAACCTTAAACAACTGAACAAATCATTTGTGAAACGTAAAATATACATATTATTTAAACCTTAGTAAGTTCAGGCTTTCCAAGTATAACCTTAAACAACTGAACAAATCATTTGTGAAACGTAAAATATACATATTATTTAAACCT